AGTGTAACCTCTATTTGTTTCCCTGAACATTTCCATTTTTCATTTTTCCTTAAATATCCCCCTCTCCTTAAAATCACCATTTTAGTTTTAGACATACTGACTTTCAATTTCCATCTCTTACAATATTATTCCAACTTGTTGATCTTTCTTTGCATGCTTATTGCCGTATCAGAAAACAAAACCAAATCATCAGCAAATAAACAAACTGTACAATTCAATATATCCAACAGAAATGCCCCGATCACCGTTATTTTAAAATTAATTTTCTAAGTCATTGATAAATAAATTAACTAGGAAATGAGGAAATAATGTCAAAGATATGTGTCAAATGCACGTTCATATTTACATCAAACCAAATCCTCGGTCATTAATTAAGTCGAATAAAATAAATAAAAAATATGTTGATTGATATCTTGATATCATTAAAGTGTATTTGATGATTAAAAACATCAAAGTATATTTGATCCCACAGGCACTACGTGGACATCCTGGTTAGACAGGGACGACCCCAGCGGTACTGGGGACTGGGAACATGTTGGGAAAACCGGATTTAATCCTGTACGTGGAGTGTTTGAAATTATATAATAGTAGAATAGTTTTAAATTCTGGTCTGTTATTCTAATAACCGTAAGCTTCATTGCCTTGTATTTAACTTAATTATCTTGTACTCTTTTATATCTTTTATATGTTTGAACTTATTGTGTAACTGCTACTACAGTTTCTTTAAATGCTGTTAATTTCAGACAGCGTTGAAAATGTACGGAGCATTCCAATATGGAGCCATGACTGTCAACAAAATCGTGTCACTTTTTTGTTAATGGTATCGCAATTTACTTTAATAAACTTATCATTTATTTTCAGTGCTCCAACAACGATCCAATCAAGATCGAGTGCCGCGTCAAGGGAACCAATCAGCCTTGGGACCAAGCGGGTCAGGTGATCAGGACCAAGTGCACGCCCTCTGAGGGATTCGTCTGCGTGAACGCCGACCAGCCGAGTGGGGAGACTTGCAAAGATTACGAAGTCCGCTTCATTTGCCCATAGCTCTGCCCATCCAACCCAAAATGTGTCTAATAAATAAATCACAGACATGTGCTTCATGTAGTAGTGCCCTGATATCTCGTCGATTTAAGTCATGTCGTCTAAAAAAATTAACTAGCAAATAATATGCAATCGACGTTTTAACCATGTAGGAATTGGTTTCAAATTCCCTTTGCTTTCATTTCGAAAAAAAAATATCCAAATTTATGCGGCAATAAATTGTAGAATTTAAACAGTAAAGTGTTGTTATTGTTTTCTTTGAAGTTTATAAAAGTTCTCTTCTAATACTTCATTTTTCATTCTGTCTATCCGTTCACCCATCTATCCATCTATCCTTCTATCAATCTATTCATCTAGCTATATATCTTATTATTTTGTTTGTGAAACGGGGGCCTGATAGTTTGCGGTTTAGGCATAAAACAGGACACGGTGTTCACAATTAAATTTGGCAGTATTTGGGAAGAAAACGACAGTGAAAAGAATGAGTACCCATCACTTTCTGTCGTCCTGTGTCTTATGTCCGTGTTAAACCCTTTATTTTAGGGATATATAATTTGAAAGGTTCATCTGTGCAGAAAAAAAACACAACTTAAAAAACAATGGGATCTTCCATGAAGTTCTTTATCATTTGAAATAGTACCCAACTACCAGAGTAGGCACCTACGGATCCTGAATTAACCGGTATATCGGACCACACTACCCGTTTTCAAGGTGTGTGTCAGAACGCATTTCGGAGTATCATACCCCAGAACAAATTTTGTAGGACGACTGCGGGTTCATCCACGCTCGGCTGAACAACTTTAAACTGTACTCTTACTTTAGAGTACCCTATGTTATTGTCTCTATGGGGGTATGTGGGGACTTTACGACATTCGGTTTGAATGTTTTAACCACTTTTGATAGGGCTTTTTTTGCATTGTATTAGATTAATGTGGCAGTCTAAGGTTGTTCAAGGTGGCTTTCAAATTTATACACCCGGTTTTAAAATCATATAGCGATTTTACGACAATCGTTTACTATCCAATCAAGGTGACAGCCGAGCGTGGGCTCATCCTGTCGGTGTTCTGACTGATACTCCGAAATGCGATCTGACACACACCTTGAAAACGGGTAGTGTGGTCCGATATACTGGTTATTTCAGGATCCTTAGGTGCCGAGTCTGGTAGTTGGGTAGGCCTGGTTTGTATCTGAATTTAGAGGCAGTATTGTCGGATATGTACCGGGTATGTGGCTATTTTAAGACGGTTTCAACAGGAATAAAAAGCAAAAATGCATTACCTTTAAAACAACGTCTGAAGTTACATAATACACACACACACACACACAATATATAAAATTACCTACCCCCTTTTCAACAAATGGTAGTTCCCAAGTTAGCACTGCTATAAGTAGTGACGTGGAGGCAACGAGAGCGAACATCTCACAGTGTAAAGTTTGCATCCTACAATGCACAACACGCAAGATTACCAAGCCCAGCCACACGGTGTTGAGTTTGTGCGGTCTCGAGTAAATAAACTTTTATTACTACATCTGCCTTATTTAGAGCACGTCATGAGTGGCATAGCTGCAAAAATCATCTATGGTAGACGGTTTCTTGGGACAAAGATTACTTGCAAAGATGTGCTGTACACAACAGTAATCACATTTAAATAATCGTTTTTAAACCACCTAATCATTGCTCATTTTTTTTTAAATAGATGCCTTGTGGCTGCTTTTTATTCTAATTCGGTTTATTACTGTAGAGTCTAACTGTAAACAGTTTTCGTTGCCAGTGATTTTATAAGCACAGTAAATGTGGAAATAAAAAATTCGATGTTTAAACTTTGGTAATATTGGACCAAATGCATGCTTTGTTATCATAGGGATGTTTTAGAATGATATGTAAAAGAACGGTAACAGAAGGACTATTATTTATGCATTTAAGTGAAAAACTCAATATCGGACAAGAGTGGAATATGTACTGTATTTCTCTGTCAGGACCTCTTCACGCGCTAGTGTTTTCGTATTTGTGTGTGTATTAAGTGTGTATATGTGTGAGTTGCGTTAGTATGAGAGAGGAAGAGAATGTGAGTTTGCGTGGGCATGAGAGAGAGAGAGAGAGCACGTGTGCACTGTGCGCGAGCGTGTTTGAATTTTCACTCATCAATTAATAGATCAGTGTCAAAACAAAAGCGCACACGCTAACGGTTACCCAGCCATTCCCTTCACTGTATAAGAGGTCAAAGAGACAAAACAGAAACTATAGACAAGACCCACAGGCGTAAAAATGCACTCTCGTGTGCACACAAACGCGCGCATGCGTTGCATTTATGTACGGTACGAAACCGCACGCACAAACACGTGCAAACAAAAACCTCTAGTTTCAAGAGATGGTCAACCGTTCAAAAGTTCACATGAAAACGTGAAAATGCATTTTTCCCGTTATAAGAACATATAACAACTGGTAACAAATAACTTGTAACAGGCATGCTTCCCATTCAACAAAGGTATGAACATTTATTTGAAAATAATATGGAAGTCATCAGAGGTCAAGATCTTGCTAAAATTCCTAAGTGAAACTCGAAAAAGGACCAAAACACATTCAAATACAATTTCAACTTTATTTTCACAGAAATGAACTTAAATCAATTTTCTAACTACCGTTGAGTATTGCATACAGAAAATGTCGTACATGTATCTAACTAAGGGTAAAATAATGTATGTGGAGGTCAAATCTTTATCAAAATATATACAAAAGTGAGGTTAGTGATCTTATAAAACACACATCAAACTAATAAAATATATCCATTGACAGTAAAGCAGTTAACAACTGAATAAAATTATAGTTATTAAATAAAAGGACACAAGTTTGTTAACCATGGTAGGTCAAGGTCGTGTATGTGTGTAAAGGTCACTCTAAAATGGGTTGAACGGTAACAACATTTTGCAGAGCTATGGCTTCCAGCACATTTCAAGCAATGCATAATACAAGTCATCGTTTAAATTTCATCTCTTTAAATGTAAAAATGTAACAAGGTAAAGGGAATATAATATCGCGCACGAGCCGACACACACGCACACACGTACCCACGCACAGAGTTTGTATTCTACTTTATGATGCACGCTTCGCCAAGAGTTCTGTCTGCCTCCAGAAGTATTCAGGCTTTTCTTGGTAGCAGATCGCCATGATTTCAGGCAAAATCACCAATCCTGCACCTACTCTTTGCAACGCCCTCAGGGAAAATTCTCTGTTGAGTGTCATCGGCCTTTAAACCAGTATGAATTTGAAGGGACCTGTAACAGCATGGTTTGAAATGAAATCTCGATTCAATGCTATTGCCTAAAGTTCAAACAAGTTTTCGGTAGCCAAAGATAAATAAAAACACCCTATCAAAATGGCTGAATTTACGACGGGAAATTGATACTTCAAATTATTACAGTGAGCCACCATTTATGCACCATTATAATACCACTTTTACTGCACTTCTTTCAGTCGTTTAAATAGAAGAGTACAAGTTTCATATTATCTCTGGCGGTTACCTACACCAGAAATATTTTAGTGTTTACACCACCGGTATATTGCAGGTAGGCACCATAGATTTCTAAATTTCTACGTATACGTTTCACTGTGGCTACATGTTTTTTCTAAGCTGGTAGGTGACGCTTTTGTTTTCTTTCGTAACATTTACCCAGTATTGCCTTAATATCATCTCTATACAACCGAAACATTGAGTTTAATTTCCCAACAAGCTGGAAGTTATTGCGTATAACACTGAATTAGGAATATTAATCAAACCAGCCTCGCAAGATTCTTTTATAATCTAGCGTCTCTGTAAACTAACCTCTATACTTTGTTCAAAATCAAAATAATTTTCAATCTGTGAAACAGGTTTTTATCAACTGAAAGATCTAAAAGATGCCAGTGTACTTGGGAATTCGATAGTCCTTTGGCTATTTACCGTGTTTTACGTACCTATGTGGTTTTCACAAAGTTCCCCCGTGTATTCTCTGGGACAATGACACTTGCACAAAACGGGAACGAAGGTTCCGCCATTTTGACACGTTCGATGGCATATATCATTTACTGAAGTAATAAAATGACGCATTTTAGTCTGTTGAAGAAACCAGTCATCCTCATGTCACTGTACTTTTGTTCCACGTGTAAAATTGGCTTTTCTTAGACAAAATTGAAAATTGTAAAATATGTAGATACCAGACTAGTGCTCATGAAAATGCTACGTTGTATTTTGCTCATTTTCTTCTAAAAATCTTGTGGAAATATTTCAATAAGATTTTAAATAAATCCAACAAACAGGAATAATATTTAGCTAAAATAGAAAAAACAATATTTCAAAGAAGGAAAAAATAATCTTACCAAATTGACATAAGGCTCCATCACATCCGGGCGGACATATACATTCACACGTATTCTGGTTCAGGACCCCGCCGTTATAGCACTGTTTATTACAACCGGAGCCCTGGGCTGGAAATTTGTATAAAATAAATGTGAATTCCTTATAACGTGTTGACAAATTCAAAATGATGACAATTTCGAAATGTTAACAATTTCAGGGCTGGGAATAAGAGTAAATTATATTCTTAAATGTTCTATTCATTTATATGTAATACATGCATCTCGACAGATCACAATAATTCCATCTTGATTTCAATTTTGTGTACTACTTAATATGCATCAGAGAGAAACGTAGAGAGAGGGAATGAGAAACGTTGGCTATAAGTGAGGAATGGAAACAATCTCGACATCAGAGCGCATGCGCGCAAGGTCGCGTGGTTAATGTGTTTGACAGAGAGACTGTAGGAAAGTAACTAAACGAGAGATAGGGGAGAAGAGGGAAGGAGGGGGGGGGCTTTTCTTACGTTGGTCACACAGATCTCCAGTCCATCCCGGAAGACAAGAACACGTGCAATCAGGCCGCAGCTGCCCGTTGACACAATTCTTGTTGCAGCCTCCTAAATTGAAAAAAAAAACAAAACAATCTTCATATTATCTCAACAGCCACACAAAAACTTCACATAAATATCTTATATAACATACTGTTACTATTATCAATTACCGTTCATATTATTAAAATATATTATATTATAACAGAAATACCAACAGATTTTATGGACTACTACCTTCATATACTTTTTACTATAATCAATTAGTTTAAAGTTTGATGTGCTCTAAAATTTAACAGAAGAGGTTGAACAATTATTTCTTTTCAGCGTGCAAAGGAAATTATCTTGCTACCAATCAGTTCACGAAATCTTTAACTGCCATAAGGCTCGCTTGAGGTGAATACGTTTCCCTTGTTGGTATATTTCGCCTTTGCGCACTTTGAACATATAAACGGTTTGTTAGTTTCACTCACGTTGAGAGCACGTGGGGCCGGTCCATCCGGGGTAGCAGAGACAGGTGCACGTGGCAGGGTTCACGACGCCATTCATACACGTTTTGGTGCACACTCCTAATTCTAGAAGAACAATTCATTTAGCATCAAATACACGGGTGAAGTCACATTTTCTGCTACATATGTAGGTGAGACTGAAGTGTGTGTGTGTGTGTGTGTGTATGTGTGTGTGCGTGTGTTAATGTGTGTACGTGAATGTATGTGTGTAAAAGAATACATGTCGTTCACGCAAATCCAGTCTACTTCGGACGACCATTGCGATGTAAAATTAATCAAGAAAAAAATAACTATCCATTTTAGTGCGAATTAATCTCGAAAACAAACCTTAACACATCTGATGTATTGTCGTCAACTCACGTTGAGTGCAGAGCGTTCCTGTCCAACCAGGCTCACAGCGACACGTGCAGCTTGGCACGTCCAAGGTTCCATGTGGACCGCAGTTCTTCTGACACACTAAAAACATTATATATTTATTGCTTTCCAACTGCATGGATATCCGATTAAAGATATTTCAAAGTAAATAAAAATTTGCACTCGATCTTTTTTTTTTTGCAAAATTTGTCAAGGTTTTAAAAACACCCTCCACATGTTCGATACTCACTGGTACTTGGGGTATTGCAATCAAGCCCTGTCCATCCGGGTGGACATTGACAACTGCAGTCTGGCCGTTGTGTGCCACGTACACATTGGTTCGGACACTCCCCTGTAAGCAAAGAGGAAATAATATGAGACAATCACAAGTAATCTATAAATATTAAACACCCTGGGAGAACCAGGCTCGTACCGTAGAGGTACCGGGTGGGACACTCGTCTGAATTGGAAACGGGTCTCAGACAGCCACTAATAAGAAAACGTGTATATGATTCATGATTACACCGGTTTATCCCTGAGGTAATTTTACTCCTGCCTGAAACACAACAATCGTTCAGTTACTGCTATATAATTGTTACTGCTTTTGTTTTTGGGCATAGTTACAATGCAGTTTTTAAGTGAGGAGGCAATAGCTACCGTGTCACAGGTATTTGACACTCACTCTTTTTGGTTAGTGAGAAATAAGACAATACGTAAGTATACGAAGCATTTTACATAGCACAAGCATGGCGTTAAAAACAATTCTGCCTGTGTTATAAATCTTATACATATTCAAATCTTTACAAAAACAAACTTGAATCAAAGCCTGTGCACGACTTTTGTAAAACACAAGCCAATGAAGGCAGTTATGCTTTTAGTAATGAAAAAAAAAAATGACGTGAGCTAGTTAAATAAGCGTTTTATCGCATTTGCGTTAAATTTGCCCCATATGGTTAAAACCACATAAGCTATGCTTACAACTGTCGCAAAGTTCACCATTCCACAGGTCATCACACACGCATGCGCAGTCGGAGATCCGGAGCCAACCATGGGCTCCACACGTCTTATTGCAGGGAGTAGAATCAGCTGAAACATTCAGATTTTCTTTGAAAGCCTTCCATCGACTCCCATACTTTTAAGCAAGACAATAATGAAAGGCAGTTTAAACCTTAAAGAAATTAAACAACAGCGCAAATGTGTTAAATTGAAATCAAAACCAAAGTTAACTAAACGATATGTTAGTGTCCTGAGTACAGCGTATTAAAGCATTTATGCACATGTATTTTAAGGCCACAAGACACATCGAAAGTACTATTTGCCGTTCGATCTTCTATAAGGTAGTAGTTGTGCACTCATACTAGTAGTACATGTAGCACATGCCATGCTCATATTTGGAAAAATTAATTCTCAGTTATTATCATAGAAATTAAAAGGTTGAATCTCCATTCTCTGTCTTATTTCAATTCTGTCTTATTAAGGGGCGCATTTAGAAAAGCGGACTAACAGATCCCCGGATCAAATGTGGCGACCCACTAAAAAGTTTGCCGCTTAATTCCCGATTAGACACTGCATAGATTCCCCGCGGGGATTACACAGCAAGCATTCAAGTGGGTCGGCCATATTTGTCCGCGGATCTGTTAGGTCGCTGTTATGAATCCGCTCTAACAGGCTATCTTCGTCATTCGGGGCCAAGTAAAGCTTACAAATATCACAGAGTTCGCCCGACCAAAGGTCATCACAAACACACGAACAATCAGACGATCTTAGCCAGCCATGTTGACATGTCTTTCTGCAGTCACTATTATTCAGCGTTTCCCCTGTAACAAAGCGCCGTTTACAATTACTGTTATACAAACACTAATGCGATGGCATCAATTACGCGAATGACTATAAATACCTGTAGATTATGCTTAGTTGTAAGTTAGTTGTAAGTTAGCTCGCAAGACATGCATTTTGAGTTAGACCTGTGTACGGATAAATAAATAAATAAATAAATAAATAAATAAATAAATAAATAACTGATAATTGCAAATGAATGGAAGTAAATAAAAATGAACTGAAATCCAAGAAATTTCAATCATTTTCTTTAATCAGCAAGGTTTATCCTGCTCAAAACAATCAAGAAAGTCATGATCTATAAACACGTTTTCGAGATCTAAATTACTATTTCTACCGTAAAGGCGGGCAATCCACTGTCAAGTGAGAGCCATATTTGATCAAAGGATCAGTTAGTCTGCGGATCAACTATATTCTAAACAGGTCCTTAAATACTTAATTATTTGCTACAGACTGATGTATCTCCTGGAAAGATGGCGCTACGACCACTCCATAGCAGTGATTGTGCGTGCGACAGACAAATATAGAAGTGTGTGGGGGGGGGGGGGGGAGGAGGGGAGAGTGCGTGCATGTATATATAAATATGTGAATGTGTCGATGAATATTTATTACGTTAGCATTCAGAAAGTATTTGATGGCTTGTTATATCAAACTGGTGATATTTTAACTCACTCTTGTCACAAAGTTCACCAGTCCAGAGATCGTCACATATACATTTGCAGTCAGATGTTCTCAGAAAGCCATATTTGCATTCTTTGGTACATAATGAAGATTCCCCTATAAAACGCATATTAATGATATTTGCATGTTAAGAAGAATAGCTTATATTATTAGATGCTGAAATGAGGAGGTTGCTTTTAAGTTGAAATATCAAAAACTTGATTAGAAAGCATTACGTAAAGCAAACAAGTTTCAAATTTAATTACCAAAAAAAAAAAAAAAAAAAAATGAACCAAGAAAAGCTAACAAATATGACTAATATATTTAGCAAGAAATGCCATAATACAATTATGCGCATTTTAGTTTAAGATAATTAAATGAGCAAAATATTAATCGCCAATCAAAAGAGAGCACACAGAGTTCTACTTATTATTTCAACTCACTCTTGTCACAAAGTTCACCCGTCCACAGATCGTCACATATACATTTACAGTCAGATGTTCTCAGAAAGCCGTGCTGACATTCTTTGTTACACGCTGAAGATTCTCCTGGAAACGTGTTAAAACATCTGTATTTTAGGTGGCATTACATCAATTTGCAGATGCTGTCATGCGAGAAGTTTTTATTTATTGAAATTTGATAAAAAACGTTAAAACAGACTATATATGTTATAAATGTTATATACATGTTATATGCCTATATGTTATTACAATATATAAAAAGCGTATTAATAATGATAAATATGTTAAGCAAAAATTGGCATAATACAATTAAACATTTTTGTTAAATATAATTGAATAAGCAAAATATTAATCACCCAAATATGCTAAAGTTCTACACGCTATTATTTCAACTCACTCCTGTCACAAAGTTCACCCGTCCACAATTCGTCACATATACATTTACAGTCAGATGTTCTAAGAAAGCCATATTTGCATTCTTTGTAACAAGCTGAAGATTCCCCTGAAACGTGTTAATAATATTTGTACGTCAAGTAGTATAATTTAAAATGTTAGATGCTGAAATGAGGAGACTGCCTTTAAGTTGTAAAATCAAAATCTTGATTAGAAAGCGTCAAGTAATGCAAACGAGGCTCAAATTTCAATTACAAAAAAGAACTTTAAAAAGCTACAAAAAGTATTACTTATATATTAAACATGAAAAGGTTTGATTCAATTAGACGCTTTTTTGTTTAAAAAAATTATATAAGCAAAATGTTAATCGCCAAACAAAAGGAAGCACAAAGTTCTACTTATTATTTCAACTCACTCTTGTCACAAAGTTCACCCGTCCACAGATCGTCACATATACATTTACAGTCAGATGTTCTCAGAAAACCGTGTTGACATTCTTTGTTACACACTGAAGATTCTCCTGGAACCATGTGTTAACAATATTATATAATAAATTATATATATATAAATGTTTGGTAGTAATACCTAAATAAGAAGTTGCTGACATAAAGCAATTTTTGATTAAATGAATTAACAAAGCTTGATTAAAGAGCGTTAAAAACAAACAAGTCATGACATTTCATTAGTCAATGTAAAAGCTTATTAATATAATGACAAACAAACATGTCAAGCAAAAATTGCCATAATACAATTAGACACATTTTAAATGAGCAAAACATCAATAGCCAAAAAATACAAAAGTTTTACACATCGTTATTTCAACTCACTCTTGTCACAAAGTTCACCCGTCCACAGATCGTCACATATACATTTACAGTCAGATGTGCTCAGAAAGCCGTGTTGACATTCTTTGTTACACACTGAAGATTCCCCTAAAACACGCGTTGAAATATTTTAAATAAGCAGATGCAGAAAACTTTTATTAGTTTAATTAATAAAAGCTTGTAGAAAAGACTGCTGAGAAAAGAAAAAAATCTTGAAATTTTGTTCCAAATAATGAAACATAAAAGCAAATAAATAATGACTATTGCATTAAAAAAACTTAGCTTAATACAGTTATAGCATTTTGTTAAAAATATCTATTAATAAAAATATTAATCGCCAAATCAAAGAAAGCACAAAAATTCTAATTCTACACATTGTTATTTTGACTCACTCTTGTCACAAAGTTCACCAGTCCAAAGATCGTCACATATACATTTACAGTCAGATGTTCTCAGAAAACCATGTTTGCATTCTTTGGTACACACTGAAGATTCCCCTAAAAAGTGTTAAAATATCTGTACGTTTAGTAGTTTTACCCCAGCAAATACAGAACGTTATCTTAACATTACCATAGCGTTTATATAACCAAATAACGTTATAATAACGAACTTTCTGTGATTGCTGGGACTTATATTAGCAGATGCAGTAATGAGGCATTAAGGCTTTCTTTAGAATAAAGCGTTAAGAAAAGCCAACAAGTCTCAGAATGTTATGGCAAAATATGAAACAACAGAAAAGCTATTTGATAATGAATATTGTGTTAAACGTGAATTGGTTTAATAACGTTGGACGCAATTTTAGTTTAAGATAATTGAATGATCAAAGTATTATTGCCAAAATACCCCCCCCCCCCCTCAAAAAAAAGTTCTTTACATTGTTATATCAACTCACTCTTGTCACAAAGTTCACCCGTCCACAGATCGTCGCATATACATTTACAGTCAGATGTTCTCAGAAAACCATGTTTGCATTCTTTGTTACAAGCTGAAGATTTTCCTGGAATCATATGTTAACAATATATATGTACGTTTATTAACCATAACTATCGTTAGATAAGAAAGCGTTAATAACAATATGCCTTAAAATGCCATGACAAAATATAAGTTACATGCAACAGCTCAACAGGAATAAACATTATACATATAAACATAATCCAAGGTCAAATACGAGGTCAAATTTGGCGCTAAAACAGCATAACAAACCGTCATGCCAATGTATGTTATTGATTGTTAGTTAACAGCACACACACACACACACACACACACACACACACAGGACATCTCGTTATAATCCCAAACTTACTTTGGTTACAGGTCGGTCCTGTCCAGCCGGTTTGACACACACAAGTACACCTTGGATAGTCCAGGTAGCCGTGTATGCATTGTTTATTACATCCACCCCCTAAATCTGAATGGAAAAAACGCATTTTAAGCCAAAGTGATATTTCTTGAAATTAACGCGAACCAGTGTAAATTTTATAAGGTCTTATTTTGGCATGTCTGCGTGCCAAAGAAATAAAATAAACAAATACAGAAATCGATAAAAAATAAAGAAGACCAATAAATAAATTTGAATTGAATAAAAAAATAATAAAAAACAATAAAATAGAATAAAGAAAAATGTTTTAAAATGTGGAGTAGTAACATGCACCAGGATAGTAGTCTAGCATTAAGGGGAGAAGGGCAATGTAAAATAAGATGTATCTCGCAGAGAGCAAAAGCTGTCCCCTTTGTCCCAAAACAATGACGCAAAATATCCAGAAAAATAAATCAATAATAAATGTGTACAAAAATCTCTTACACTGGTCGCAGAGAGCTCCTCCCCACCTCGGGAAGCAGTTGCAGGTACAAGACTGGCTATCCAAGGTGCCATACACGCACTGCTTGTTACACACCCCTGTAAAAACATTTGTGGCTTAATTCGTTATTAAATAGATATGTGGTAGTTTGAACAATTAAAACTTCTGTCGTAATGGTAATAAAAGATATTGTTCGGATGTATTGTTTAAAAGCTATGGGTCCTTTGATAAAATAGAGTTTATTAGCTATTTCATTTATAAATGATCCTAGAAGATAAATATCTTTATCAGTATTTAAATTTTTTGATGAATATGGAAATCAACGACAGATACTGGTAGATAATTTCAACATACAGGGGCAATTAACGATTGAAACGTAAAGGTTCAGCTTCTTAAACAAAACGATGACTTCTCAAACTTACAAAGTAAGGCGTAAATGGTTACTTACATACCTAATAGATAAAATGATTCATGCCACAAGATTAATCAAGAACTGATTTAAAAGTCGATGCACATGTACAATACAGAACCGTAACTTGATCTAAAAAGTTAACATTTCATGACATATGACCACAAAGAATAAAAACAACTTACGTTGGTCACACAAAGTCCCAGTCCATCCCTGGTTGCAAACACACGTGCAAGTTTGAGAATTAAGGTATCCGTTCGCACCGCAGTTTTTGGTACAACCACCCCCGACCTCTGAAAAGGGTTAATTTTGGATGAAATTTTGGCTCATCTTCTCAAACAAAAAAGTCTTCTCAAATTTAAAAAGAACATTGAATACATATGAATATGCACATATTTATTAACTGAATAACTGAAATTGTTTAACTTGATCAACAGACTTAGAAGTTGAAGGTCAAAATTTATTTATGAATAGTAAAAAACAACGCCAAACATAGTGCTGTAACTGAATATAAAACGTTAACACTTTGCACGTTATGGACTCCAAATAATATCACATATACTTACGCTGGTCACACAAAGTCCCAGTCCAACCCTGGTTGCAGATACACGTACAAGTTTGAGAATTGAGATATCCGTTCACACCGCAATTTTTGGTACAAGTCTCTGAAAAATTCAGTTTTAAGTTAGTGTGACGGTTCATCCTCTATATAACAAAACAAACAGTTCCACTTTGTGACATATACATCTCAAATATTATCACATGTACTCACGCTGGTCACATAGAGGTCCGGTCCATCCCTGGTTGCAGATACACGTACACGTCTGAGAATTGAGGTATCCGTTCGCGCCACAGTTTTTATTGCAGACCTCTAACAAAGGAAATTTTGAATGAAATGTGGCTATTTATCTTTTAAAACAACACGCTGATTTCAAATGTACGAACTAAAATAATTCTGATCTACAACGTACACATTGAATAAATGGGCTCAAAGCGGTAAAATAATAAAAAACACTAGTATGAAAGAATAAATGATTATTCAACAGCTGCAAACCGAAGAGCCAGATACAAAACCGTAGGTGAATGCTTAAACGTTTGAACTTTGTAACAGGAATCTTAAAGAATATCACTTACGTTGGTCACACAGAGGTCCAGTCCAACCCTGGTTGCAGATACACGTACACGTCTGAGAATTGAGGTATCCGTTCGCACCGCAGTTTTTGTTGCAGACCCCTGAAAAAAGGTAACTTTTGAATGAAATGCGACAATGTATCTTTTTTAACAACATGCTGACTATAAAGTAAAATAAATATGAACTTTAGTCACTGATTTAACAAAAAGATTTCATAATTGAGTGATAAGTCTTAAAAATGGCAAAGATACTTGAAAATATAAAATAATAAATGTTTATTTAACATCTGTAAAAAATACAAGCCAGATGTAGAACCGATGGATGCTTAAACGTTCAAACTTTATGACAGGGGTCCCAAAGAATACCACTTACGTTGGTCACACAAAGTCCCAGTCCAACCCTGGTTGCAGATACACGTACAAGTTTGAGAATTGAGATATCCGTTCGCGCCGCAGTTTTTGGTACAGCCACCCCCGACCGCTGAAACCATAAATTTAGGACAAAATGTAACGGCCCGTCTTCACAAACTATTAGGGCACATTTCCAATGAAACTGTTGTTTTACGTAGATCGATTCTTACATTTTACGCATTCAACTTTACGTCAGGAGGAGGCTTGATAATCTGTTTATCTGATTGCATTCAACTATATCGATCTACATATAAAGAACTTTAATTTCATAGAAAATGAGCCCATAGACGTCTTCTCAAATTTATCAAGTAATTGAAAGATAAATGGACAAGTACACATTTCATAACTGAACAAGAAGTTGCAAAGTGGATTAAAAGACTTTAATGTTTAAGGTTAAAAGTTTAGTCAATAACTGTGAAAGCCAATGTGAAATACATGCCGCAACCGTAATGTGAGTGGATGACAAAAAGATAACACATCATGAAAATATCCCAAAGAATATCACATATACTTACGTTGATCACACAAAGTCCCAGTCCAACCCTGGTTGCAGATACACGTACAAGTTTGAGAATTGAGGTATCCGTTCACACCGCAGTTTTTGGTACAGGTCTCTGAAAAGGTGAATTACGAAGAGATGTAACGGTAAATCTTTACAAAAACAAAAATAGTGTTTCATATTGTTAAAGTAAACAGTAAATAAATGGTTATGCAAGTATTTCATTATACATTTGTGTGATAAGTTGTAAAAATGATTAACAATACTTTTAAGATCTTTCAGAGGATGCAAGTAACAGGGCCGTAGATGAAAAATCTAAAAACGTTTACACTTCATGGCATGTATCCCAAAGAATATCACATATACTTACGTTGGTCACACAAAGTCCCAGTCCAACCCTGGTTGCAGATACACGTACAAGTTTGAGTATTGAGGTTGCCATTCACACATTGTTTGTTGCATCCACCACCTGTAATGGCATAAGTGCAGTATTTGTACTATATACTAACAGGACACAATATATATAGTTAATTAAGATCCCCGTGAGCGCTAGAGGTTTATAACGTTTGTTCAAACATTATCAAATTAATAAAGTATTTTGTGAGAACGTGAAAATCATTTAGTTTTATGTATATGTACCTTGGGCATGGGCGGATCCAGGATTATTTAAAGGGGGTCCGTGGATACAAAGCCGACCCCCCCCCCCCCCGGCGTAGGGTTCGGGGCCCGCTAAAGGGACCCGAAATTTTCTGTTATTTTAGAGGTGTGAACACTGCCATTTGGTACGGTTTAGAATTATGATTCAGCTAGTCAAGTTTCTAATTTCAAGATGGGACCTATGGTGTGATTTTTTTTCAGAAACCGAATGGGGGATCAGCCCCCCCCCCCCCCCCCCCCCCCCAACCCCCCCCCCCCCCTCACAC